CTTAGGTGTACTTCGGATGTGCACAATAAACAGGCCCCATACAACTAGAAGCAGAGTATTATAAATCACTTCTTTCACAGGAGAATATGGTGGTTTTGATGAAGCACAACTGACTAGCAGGTCTGGCGGCAAGGCTGAAGTAATTTCTTACTTGAAAAAGAAAGAAGGATATTCCAGGATTGTTATGATTGGTGATGGAGCAACAGATATGGAAGCATGCCCACCTGCTGATGCCTTTATAGGTATGTTTTTTTCACATTAGCGTATGGATACTCATAGGATTATATATTTAAACATTATTAGGTCACTGACAAAATACAGGATATAGATTAGATATTTTAGAGCTGTGTTAATGTAATCTTTGTTGTCAGAGATGTTTTGTGGCTGTATTCATCAGAAAGTTATGACTTGGTTACAGCAGTACATATGGTCAGGTAAGAATGTTTGAACACATCAAATGATTTTTTTTATTTATTTTCAGGTTTTGGAGGAAATGTTGTCAGAGAAAGTGTGAGGAACACTGCAACATGGTATGTTACTGACTTTGCCACTCTCATTAATGAGCTTGAGAGAAAAGACTAAGAACACATAAGAACATTGATCTGAGTAAATGGCAGATTTCATTCTTTGAAAAATCTTGATAATCTTACTACCAGCTGTGATCTGTGTAACTGTAGCTTTTAAATCATGGCCACGACCTTCCATGGGATGAAGACCCAGCAGTCTTCTTTTATATATATGACACTAGAGCAGAATATGATCAGAGTGACCAAGCTACCAAGTATAATTTTTAAAAATACAGTTATGTAATAACAGAAGCCAATCATAAACTGCCCATGAATGTGACTCAAGAAGAATCCTAAAATACACCTCTAAATGTCTTAATTGCAGAAGCATAGTGCCAGTTTGGTTGTCTCATTTTACTATTTTTCTGATGTCATCACAAATGAGCATTATATAAGTGAAAGATTCATGTATGTATATATATTTTTTTGTTTTTTTTTAATGATTATTTACAATATTTTTTATTTTAATGGAAATATATGTTCCTAATAAGAATGTATTTCAATGATATATAAACAGGTTTAATACATAGGAAGGAATTCATAAAATATCTGTAAATGTTAAATGAAAACCCTTAACTGTATAAATGTCATTTAATTAGAAATAATATCTTTTCAACTCAGGAAAAAAAGGTTACTACATCTTTCAGTGGCTTCCGCATGTAGAATAGGGTTTTTCACAGTATAAATATATAAAGTCAACCGTGAGAAGTTGGATATGGAAACCAATGTAATATTTGAAGCACCTCACTGAATAACTGTATTTAATCAATGCTAATTATGTATCTATGTGTATTATTGGGGTTTGTATTTGCTTACGTATAGATATATATGTGCATGATTGTGCATTTATCCTTACATTTTAGTATGTTTTATGATACAGTATGTTATAAAAACATTTATTAAACTAATCAATCTTTAACAGTTTTAGAGTAGATTTGTAGAATTTGGTGCTAATATTTTACAGTTGTCTTTCAGATGTTTAACATAAATATTCTTAACTCAAGAAGTATTCAGGGCATATATTTAAAGTAAACAAGATTTTATAAAAAGCTTAAAATTATATTTTGCACTTACATACAAGACCTCTGCAGTGAGACAACCAAACATAGAGCTGTTCTCTGAAACCTTGGTATATTTATATAACTAATGTACCAGCAGTGTAACTGAATTGTATATATTACAGTATCTAGTTTTTTGCTAATTATTTTATACATGACATATGCACAGATATCAGTTTGTTTGTGCATGTATTGTATGTGTTCATGTTCCTAAGAAAAGAATAGATTTAAGCGTTTGTATCTCAACTTTCATTTTCGGCTGTTATTAAAACCGGTGATTTAAGGTAAGTTGATATAAGTGGAAGAACAGCATTTATATCACTCTGATATTGTCTCAGATTTGAGTTTTTATACACTTAAAGGTTATTTCTCTTTCATGTATGTTTGAATATTAAGAAATTAATTATATCACCAGTCACATCTTATTAATTTATTTTTTTTTACTGCTTTACACACATTCCAGATCCATTGTCACTGGTTATTTCATTCATTACCTTTCTGGGTTAATATTATTTAAAGTAATGTGAATATTTATGTACAACAGCCTCTATTTTTTTTACTAAGATGAAATATTTATTGAAAACTTTGACAAACAATGAGATCATTGTTCATTGTATTATGATATACTCATCTTCACCTTTTCTTACATATGCAGTTTGCAGTGGTCATATATGTACTCAATCATGAGGGACATCAGTTTTTCACTTTATTTCCAGTGTTGTTTACCTTCACTTTATGTGACTTGAAGAAACTGTATTTTAGGTAACAATTTGGAATTAGGTATTCACTTACTTTCTAAGGCTTGTATTAGTAATGTTTTTTCATGTGTTGCACCATCATGTCAGGAAAGACAAATAAATAGGAAATTGAATTATA